AAAAAAAAAAAAAAAAAATACTTAACCAACTTTAAAAATGCACCTAACCACATTCCCACCCGATTTACTATTTGAAACATATCCCATGTAAATGCTTGTAAAAAGTAATCTTGATGAATGAATGTCCCACAATCTTCCTGGCGGTGTCATTAGACTTTTTTTTTGACAGAATTTTACTCTACTGTCTAGGTAAAGTTCATGGCATTATAGCTCACAGCAACCTCAAACTCTTGGGCTTGAGCAATCCTTCTGAGTAGTGAGACGATAGTCACCTGCCATAATGCCCAGCTAGTTTTTCTGTTTTTAGTAGAGATGAAGTCTTGCTCTTGCTCAGGCTGGTAGGCTTCTTGATTTTGCCAGTCTAATAGATTACAATTTAAAACAATGAAATAATTGTTATTTCTTTGATCTTGTTTCCTCATATTGCACAACTAAATTTGAAATGGCTGCATTTTTTCCATATTAATTTTGTAAAGTTATATGTAAATAAGTTAAAATGAAATAAGCTTTCATGTTCTTTGTCTTTTTTAACCAGATGGGATCAGCAATATGTAATACAACTCACCTCCATGTTCAAGTAAGCATCATTTCATTTTCTTTTTATGTCTCACTTTGTGAAATTAGCTGCTAGAAATTAAAACACAGTAAACTCCTCTTGAGTAAGAGTATTATCACATCTCTTTTATATTACAAATTTCCTCCCCACGCCCATCTCCTTTTTGGCTTAATTTACTTAATTTACATTATAACTTTATGACTTTTTTCCAAGATGCCTTTGCTTAGGTAGGGTTATCAGTTCCCTCAAAGGGTCTTCATTAGTGAAAAATCAAAAGGGACAGTTATTCTATTATCTCCTTAATTCCCTGCTCCTAGATTTTATTTATTTATTTATTTATTATTATTTTTATTTTTTGAGACAGAGTCTCAAGCTGTCACCCTGGGTAGAATGTGGTGGCATCATAGCTCACAACAATCTCAAACTCTAGGGCTCAAGCGATTTTCTTGCGTCAGCCTCCCAAGTATCTGGGATTACAGGTGCCTGCTACAATGCCCAGCTATTTTTTTGTTGCGGTTGTCAATTGTTATTTTAGCTGGCCTTGACCGGGTTCAAAGCCACCAGCCTCAGTGTATGTAGCCGGTGCTCTACCCACTGAGCTACAAGTGCGCCCAGATTTTATTTTTTAAAAAAATGTTTACTGGAATTGAACTGTCGTAAAACTCTTAAGTTGAATTTCTGAAAATAAGACAGTTAGTTCTGGTTGTACCCTTTAGAATCTTTGATCCACAGGGATGTTCCTCTGACTGCAGAAGAGGTGGAATTTGTTGTGGGAAAGGTGTTGACAGTATTCTCCAAGATGAATCTTCAAGAAATACCACCTTTGGTCTATCAGCTTCTGGTTCTCTCCTCAAAGGTATAAATAAAAAAGTATCTCTCTTTAATTTGGGGGGGGTGTTACTGGCTGTGGATGTTCAGCTTGTTTATATTCTTGGTTTACATGTTAGACACAGATACTTTGATTTTATGACTAGTACTAGTAAAAAGGTCATGCTCCTCAGTCAAGTATTACCTCTTGTATTACCACATTTTCTTTGTGGTAATAAAAGGGGTAAAGATCTCAGAAAGGGTGGACTATAAACCCTTTTAAGTTCAACAGTAAGAGGTATTTCAAACCCTGTCTCAACATGAAAATTGAAACATTCTCAGTTTGACTCTAGGTTGTAGCTTTTGGGGGGAGGGGACAGAGTCTCAAGCTGTCGCCCTGGGTAGAGTGCTATGGCATCACAGCTCACAGCAACCTCAAACTCTTGGGCTTAAGCAATCCTCTTGCCTCAGCTGACCAGTAGCTGGGACTGCAGGTGCCTGCCACAAAGCCTGCTTATTTTTTTGGTTATAGTTGTCGTTGTTTGGCAGGCCTTGGCTGGATTTGAACCTGCCAGCTCTGGTGTATGTGGCTGGTGCCTTAGCTGCTTGAGCTACAGGCACTGAGCCTGGGTTATAGCTTTTTTTTTTTTTGAGACAGAGCCTCAAGCCGTCCCCCTGAGTAGAGTGCTGTGGCGTCACACCTCACAGCAACCTCCAACTTCTGGGCTCAAGCGAGTCTCCTGCCTCAGCCTCCCAAGTAGCTGGGACTACAGGTGCCTGCCACAACACCCAGCTACTTTTTGGTTGCAGCCATCATTGTTGTTTGGAGGGTCTGGGCTGGATTCAAACCCACCACCTTAGGTGTATGTGGCTGGCGCCTTAGCCATTTGAGCCACAGGCACCAAGCCAAGGTTGTAGCTTTTTTAAAAAAAATTGTACTTGAGGCCGGCGCCTGTGGCTCAAAGGAGTAGGGTGCCAGCCTCATATACCAGAGGTGACAGTTTCAAACCCAGCCCTGGCCAAAATTGCAAAAAAAAAAAAAAAATTGTTCTTGAGAATTCTTTAATCTTTAAAGTACTTTAAATTCAATTTGGTTATGTTGTTTTTTAATTGGAAGACCTTACCTATTTTGTATTTCAGGGAAGCAGAAAGAGTGTTTTGGAAAGAATCATAGCTTTCTTCAATGAGCTAGATAAGCAGCACACTGAGGAACAGAGTGGTGATGAGTGAGTAATATAGTGTAGAATAAAGATCAGTTTTACAAATTTATTTTCTTGTTTATTCTAGGTGTTCTATATTATCTTCTCTTTTACCTCAGAACAGAACTTCCCCAATCTTTTCCTAACTGCTTAGTAATAAAATTAAGAGAATAATAAAGCCTTTTCAGCTCTTTTGCTTATATTTCAAGAAAATAGTAATAATTGTCTTGTAAGTTACATGTTTAAAACCTGTTTATTAAGTGTCTGCTGTCTGTTAGAAACTGTTTAGCCTTGGGGCTATAGTGATGAACTAGTCACACAATGTCCCTGCTCTCAGTGGAGCTTAAATTTTGTTAAGAAAATAACAAAAACATTGGACTGGAAAGTGTTATGCATATAATTCAAATGGATGATGTGATAGTGACAGCGTAGCTGCATTAGATGGGGTCAGGGAAAACCTCTGAGAAGATACTGTTTTGACTGAAGCTTGAATGATGAGAGCCAGAGTGTATAGATCAGGGAAAAGTATATTCTAAGGGATGTAGTACAAAGACAAAGCACAGTGTGGCATGTCTGGGACAGAGGATTTTTTTTTTTTTAAGCTAATATTTGTAGAGTGCTTATTCTCTACTAGGTATTGTTCTATCCACTTTAAACCTCACAACCCTATTTTGCCTTTGTTTTTATGGCTGTGAAACCTAAGAGGCAGAGAAATTAAGGAATTTCCAGTGATACAGCCAGAAAGTGGTGGAGCTGAGATTTGAATCTGGCCATTTTGTTTGCAGGGTTTGTGCTGTTAACTCTAGTGCAGCCCAGGGCTTCTAATCTATAATAATTCCCAGTTATTTAGCTTAAGAAATTGAGACGTGCAGCAATTTTTGGAGAAAATAATGAGTTTACTTTGACCACATTAGGTTTGAGATGTACACTATTAGTATCCTATAAGGAGACACTGAACAAATAGTCTGAAATTGTAGGGCGAGGCCTGACCTGGAGATGTATTACAGATTAGAAGATATTAATGCCATGAGACTGGATGGGATTTTCTAGAAAAAGTATGAAGAAAAAGAAACTGAAGTCTGAGGTCAGGGACATTCTATTCTTTTAAGATCAAGCAGTAGGAGAAGATTAGCCTCCAAAAATAAATAAATAAAATTGAGAGGAGGCCAATGATAGTACCCTAGAAGCTAAAAGAAAGTATTTTAAGAAAAGTGAATAATTGTGTTAAATCTGCTGAGATATTAAAGTGGGACTTTATTGGTTTGGGTAATGTGCAGGTCATTTGTGAGCCTTGCAGTAATACTTAAATGCTATGGGGGACAAAGATTGGAAGAGAAGATAGAAGCCTGATTTAATTGGATTGGGAAGAGACTGAGATAATGAAGTGGAAATAATGACTGTAGACCGTTCTTTCATGAAATTTTACTGTAAAAAGGAATAGAGAATGGGCCAGTAAAATTTCTACTTAACTCTCTGGTGATTGTGAACAATCAGCTTGAGTTGGTCTACTTGTTCATCAGAGCACTTACACTTGTCTTTCTAGAACAATAGCTCTTTTTTTCTTTTGAATCTTCTAGGTTGTTGGATCTTGTTACCGTGCCATCAAGTGAACTTCGTCATGTGGAAGGCACTGTTATTCTACACATTGTATTTGCCATCAAATTGGACTGTGAACTAGGCAGAGAACTCCTCAAATGTATAAAGGTAGCATCAAACTCTTTGAGATAATCTCACTTAATTTCCCTGGGGTAGGCTCGGCGCCTATAGCTCAACCGGCTAAGGCGCCAGCCACATACACCTAAGGTGGTGGGTTCAAATCCCCAGCCTGGACCTGCCAAAACAACAATGACGGCTGCAACCAAAAAATAGCCGGGCGTTGTGGCGGGCGCCTGTAGTCCCAGCTACTTGGGAGGCGGAGGCAGGAGACTCGCTTGAGCCGTTGGAGGTTGCTGTGAGCTGTAATGCCATGGCACTCTACCCAGGGGGACAGCTTGAGGCTCTGTCTCAAAAAAAAAAAAAAAAAAAATTCCCTGGGGGTAGAGTGCCGTGGCGTCGAAACTCACAGCAACCTCAAACTTTTGTGCTTTTGGTGCTCTTGCCTCAGTCTGCTGTGTAGCTGGGATTACAGGCACTCATCACAAAGCCCAGGTAGTTTGTCTATTTTTAGTAAAGACAGGATCGGTCTGTTGTTCAGGCTGGTCTTGGACTGGTCTCAAACTCCTGAGTTCAAGCCATCTACCCACCTTGGCCCCCCAGAGTGCTAGGATTACTGGTCTGAGCCATTGTACCCAGCCACACCAAACTCTTAAGGTGATCCTAGGTCTCTTTATGAAATGGGAATGTTTGAATTTTTATGCCAGTTATGACAGGAAATAAATATTGTTCCCCCACCCTCTTGCCCCAGGATCTAATCAGGTGTAATGCATTGCATTTGATTATTATGTCTCTTAAGCATTTTTTTTTTTATTGTTGAATGATAACTGTGTACATTAATGCACTTCTGGGGTACAGTGTGGTGTTTTCACACATAATTCAAAACACTTCCATCAAACTGGTTAACATAACTTTAGCATTTTTTAATGAATATTTTTTTTAAGTGTCAGCCCACTTGTCTGGCATAATGTCCCATATTTGGTTTATCTGTTTGTTTCCTCATAATTATATTTAAGTTAAACATTTTTGGCAAGAATACTTTGTAAGTGATGTGTACTTTCTCTTGCAAGGTCAGCAAACTTCTGTAAAGGACCAGATATTAAATATATTAGGCTTTGCAGGTCATGCAGGTTTATCACAAGTATTCTTTAGCTCTACCCTGTAGCAAGAAGGCAGCCATAGGCAAATCAAGAATAAATGAGTATGGCTATGTTCCAGTAAAACTATATGGACACTGAAATTTGAATTTCTGAAATTTTCTTCCCTTGATTTTTATTTCTTTTTTTCTTTAAACCACAAATGTATGAACTGGTCACAGGTCAAGGGTTGTACAAAAACTCTTAGGCTAGATTTGGCCAATAGACAGTAGTTTGCCAGCTACTCACTGTTCTATAAGTTACCTCAGGTGGCATACAGTGTCAGCTATCCTGCTACTGGTGATGCAAAATCATTTGCTTAGGATAATGACCGTGAGTTTTCTTCATTTGTAAATATATATATATCCTTTTGTAGATAGAAAGTAATCTATAGGATTATAATTAGAGATTATGTGAAAATCCTTTTCTCAACAACTTTTCACATATGGTTTTACTTTACTATCTATTGATGATTCTTGGCCTACATTAGTAATTATACTAGGAGTTGTGAAATGGTAGAGTTAAAATTAAAAAATTTTAACTGGGCTCCGTGCCTGTGGCTCAAGTGGCTAAGGTGCCAGCCACATACACCTAAGGTAGCGGGTTCGAATCTAGCCCAGGCCTGCCAAACAATAGTGATGGCTGCAATCAAAAAAATAGCTGGGCCTGGGAGGTGCCTGTGGCTCAAAGGAGTAGGGCGCCGGCCCCATATGCTGGAGGTGGCGGGAATGGCCAGGCGTTGTGGTAGGCGCCTGTGGTCCCAGCTACTTGGGAGGCTGAGGCAGAGACTCACTTGAGCCCAGGAGTTGGAGGTTGCTGTGAGCTGTGATGCCATAGCACTCTACCCAGGGTGACAGCTTGAGGCTCTGTCTCAAAAAAAAGAAAAAAATTTTTTAACTGCATTATTCCTTGTACATTATTAGCTGGCATACTTCTGTAAAGGAGCCTCCCCTTCCCCTAGTATTTGGATGTCTGGACCTTTTTTGATCGAATGTACTCATCATTTACTATTGTCATTATTTGTTTTAAGCACAGAGTTATCCAGATTTGGCCATTTGGATTCTTCAAGTTGGTTTCTGTTTCCTTTTGATGTGACCCTCCCACCCCCAATTAGTCTTTGAACACTTTTGTGACATATCCAGAGTACACATCACCTTGTACTTTTCCTTGTCCCATTCTGTTGCCAACCATTTTTCCAAGGACCCCTGGGTCCCTTTTGTAGGAAAGAATATTTAAAAACCATGATCTGCTAGCTAGGCTTTACAGCAGTGGTTTTCAACCTTCCTAATGCTGTGGCGCTTTAATACAGTTCCTGTGGGTCACGACCCATGTTGAGAACCACTGCTTTAAAGCATCTTTAGCTTTCCTGTATCTGTTCATTCTCCTTTTTATTTAGGTTCATAGTAACCATATTACTGGTCTTAACAAAGAAATATCTTTGTATGTTTCTATCCACTCTGCTGTTTTGTTTTTTTGTTTCATGTATGTTTGATTTTATATTCTTTTTTGTTATTTTTAGGTTATTTTTTCTAAGTCTCAAAGATCTATTTTTTAACTTTATTGAAGTACAATTTACATAACACTTAGAAGCATACTATCCGTGGTTTTTCACAAGTTTACCTAGTTCTGCAATCATAATGCAGTTTTAAAACATTTTTATCAACTAAGAAGATTTTTCTTTTTTAAAAAAATTTTTATTCATTTATTTAATTAATTCATTCATTTTTTTAGCCTTTCTTTTTTATCTGCAGTTTTTGGCCGGGGCTGGGTTTGAACCCGCCACCTCTGGCATACGGGGCCGATGCCCTACTCCTTTGAGCCACAGGTACCGCCCCAAGAAGATTTTCCATTTAATCTTCATTACCATTCTAAGCCCCAGGCAGCCACTAATCTGTTTTCTGTCTCTATAGATTTGCTTTTTCTAGGCATTTTGTATAAATGGAATCATAAGGTATTGAAACAAAGCATACACAAAAGATTACGTAAGTGTAATGGTGTAATGTTTTCTTTTCTTTCTTTTTTTCTTTTAATTAAATGATAGTTGTGTACATTGATGCATAGGCACATGGCCTATAGATATATGAAAAAGTGTAATGTTTTCAAGGTTCATCTGTGCTTTAGCATATGTAGTATGTAGTATTTTATTTTCATTGTAAATATTCCATTGTATGGATATAACATATCAATTTTGTTTATCTGCTAGTTGTGGACATTTGAGTTTTTTCTATTTTTTGGCTATTATAAATATTCACATGCAAGTCTGGGCAGATGTATGTTTCATTTCTCTTGGGTAGCTACTGAAGAAAGGAATTGTTGGTATGTGTGACATATTTATGTTTGTTTATTTTATTTTATTGAGACAGAGTCTCACTCTGTCAACCTAGGTAGAGTGCTTTGCCATCATAGCTCACAACTTAGAAGTCTTGGGCTCAAAAATTCTTCTTGCCTCAGCCTCTTGAGTAACTGGGACTTTAGGCACCTGCTACAGCACTCAGCTGCTTTTTCTATTTTTAGTAGACATGGGGGTCTCACTGTTGCTCAGACTGGTCTCAAACCCCTGAGCTCAAGCAGTCCACCAACCTTGGCCCCCCAGAATGGTAGGATTACAGGCAAGAGCCACTGCACTGGCCTGTCTTTAAAATTTTAAGAAACTGTCAGGCTGGGCATAGTGTCTCATGCCTATAATCTTAGCACTCTGGGAGGTTGAGGTGGGAGGATCATTTGAGCTCAGGAGTTTTAGACCTGAGCAAGAGTGAGACCCCATCTCTACTAAAAATAGAAAAATGAGCTGGGCATTGTGGTACCTATATAGTTCCAGCTACTCAGGAGGCTGAGGCAGGAGTATGGCTTGAACCTAGGAGTTTGAGGTTGCTGTGAGCTAGGTTGTGCAGCACTCTAGCCTGGGCAACAGAGTGAGAGTCTGTCTTTAAAAAAAAAGGAAAAAGGGCTTGGCGCCTGTGGCTCAAGTGGTTAAGGCACTAGTCACATACACCTAAGGTGGCAGGTTCAAATCCAGCCCAGGCCCACCAAACAACAATGATAGCTGCAACCAAAAAAATAGCCAGGTGTTGTGGCAGGCGCCTGTGGTCCCAGCTACTTGGGAGGCAGAGGCAGGAGACTCGCTTGAGCCCGGAAGTTGGAAGTTGCCGTGAGCTGTGATGCAACGGCACTCTACCCAAGGGGACAGCTTGAGGCTCTGTCTCAAAAAAAAAAAAGGAAAAAGAAAGAAATGTGGGGATTCCTATTTCTGTATATCATAGCCAACATTTGTTGTCTTTTTTATTAATACTGTATCCATTCTAATGGATATAAAATGGTATCTCATTGAGGTTTTACTTTTAATTTCCTTAATAACTGATAATTAAGCATCTTTTTTTTTTTTATTGAATGGTAACTATGTACATTAATGCACTTCTGGGGTACAGTGTGGGGTTTTCACATGCAATCTGAAATACTTCCATCAAACTGGTCAACACAGCCTTCATGTCATTTTCTCAGTTATTGTTTTAAAACGTTCACATTCTACTCTTAGAAAGATTCACTTGTACCCCTATAAGATAAACCTCAGAAGTGATCCCTCCAAACCCCCTCCCTCCACCCATTCCCCCCTCCCCATATTCTTAGGCTATTTGGTTATAGCTTTCATATCAAAGGTATAAATTAGTTTCATAATAGGCGTGTGTACATTGGATACTTTTTCCTCCATTCTTGATAATTGAGCATCTTTTTACGTGCTTATTTAGCTATTCAAAATGTCTGTTCGTATCTTTTGGCCCATTTTTTTTTATTGCGGTGTTTTCATAATTGAGTTCTAAGAATTCTTTGTGTATTCTAGTGATAAGTCCTTTATTAGGTATATAATTGAGAAATACTCTTTCAAAGTCTGTGACTTGTTTTTTCTTAGTGGTATCTTTTGAAACACAAAAGTTTGAATTTTGATTAAGTCCAGTTTTCTTGCATAATTTGTACAAGAAAGAAATATATTTTTGGTGTTACATGCAAGTAATCTTTGCCTAATTCAAGGTCTTGAAGATTTTCTGTTTTCTTCTAATAGTTTTATTAAATTTTAGCTCTTACATTTAGATTTCTTATCCATGTAAGGACCTGTTTTTAAATAGACTGTGTGATACTTTTAATATGTAAATAATGAATTATTTTCATTGATTCCCTCCCCGCCAGGCAGGACAACAAGGAGATTTCATTAATAACTTATGTCCCTTCAGCATTGCTCTTCTTCTTTCTGTGACAAGAATACAAAGATTTGAGGAACAGGTATTTTTTTTTTTTATTGTTTCAGGTTCATTGAGGGTAAAAGAATTAGGTTATACTGTTTGCATTTAAAGTCCCTCTTACAATTGTGAGGACAAATATTTTTGATGCCTTTTTTTTCATAGTAAGAGAGTACAAGAATCTTCTTTTTACCTTTTCTAAATCATTCCACTCCTATCCTATTAGCAGCAAAGCTACTATAAGACATATTGGCCTCAGTTCTCTGGGGCCTGCTATAAAACTACTTTAAGTATTTGGGTTATACCTTCCTTTCCTGTTGTGTGGTAAGCCAGGTAGTGAGGTGGGAATAAAAGTGGAAACATGTCACACAGCCCAAATAGCGATCACCCAGCCCAAGTAGCATGAATGGGAAGTTTAGTTGGATATTACCGGGAGTTCTATTATAGCTTTCCAATAAATAGTCCCTGATTGAGTTGAAATTAATGAGAATAGAGAAGTTGCAAGAAGGAAAATATGAAATCCTTTACCTTTTTTCCCCTCATATGTGTTTCTAGGTTATGGGTAATATTTGCATTGATTTTATTTTTTTTTAAGTTCTTTTTCTGGTTTAAGGAAGACTCAAGTTCCCAGTGGAAGTCATATTTTTTGTATCACCTTTAGCTAAACAGCTGTAATAGGGACATAAGTGAGTGGCAGCTTGTAGGAATAGTTACAGGGTTAAGATACATAGCATGACTTAGAATTTTTACTTCATTTTCCTATTTCTTTTTTTATATTAGGTGTTTGATCTTTTAAAGACTTCGGTTGTGAAGAGCTTCAAGGATCTTCAGCTCCTCGAAGGCTCTAAATTTCTTCAGAATCTAATTCCTCATAGGCCTTGTGTTTCAGCCATGATCTTGGAAGTTGTAAAGAATAGGTAGGTGAGGGTGGCGCCTGTGGCTCAGTGAGTAGGGCGCTGGCCCCATATACCAAGGGTGGCGAGTTCAAACCTGGCCCTGGCCAAATTGCAACAAAAATAGCTGGGTGTTATGGTGGGTGCCTGTAGTACCAGCTACTCCAGGAGGCTGAGGCAAGAGAATCACCTAAGGCCAAAAGCTGGAGGGTGCTGTGAGTTGTGATGCTACAGCACTGTACCGAGGGTGACAAAGTAAGAATCTATCTCTTAAAAAAAAAAAAAGAATAGGTAGGTGAGTTAGTGAACCATATCTCAGCAGGTTTATAAGGTATTTAGTGTTCGAAGATACATTGTCAGATAAAATTGACTACACTGCTGTTGACTTCACACATGAAGGTTTAATTCTTTAAAATTGGTCAAGCAAACTTTTTCATATGGAAAGATCCTTAAACCTCAGGACCTGGTTTCTTGGCCATCTTGATAGCAAAAATACAAAACTGAAGGAGATATTTTTTTCCCCATAGTATTACAACTCTTTATTGGCCTGACTCTTTAAGGTTTTTTTTTCTTTCTTTTTTTTTTAAACTGAAGGAGACAGTCTCGTTATGTGGCTCAGGCTGGAGTGCGATCATAACATATCATAGTCTTAAACTCCTCGGCCTCAAGTGATCCTCCCATCTTAGTCTCCCAAGTATCTGGGACTACAGACAGTCATTACTGTGTCTGGCTTTGCTTTTTTCCCCCCTCTTAAGAGATGGGGTTTTCTTGCTACATTGCCCAGGCTGACCTCAAATCAAACTCCTGGGCTCAAGTGATCCTTCCATTCTCAGCCTCCTAAGTAACTGTAACTATGGGTGCATACTACTATACCTAGCTCTTGGCCTTTTTCAAGACAGTCTCACTTTGTAGCCCTTGTTAGAGTGCTGTGGTGCCACAGCTCATAGCAACCTCAAACTCTTGGGCTCAAGTGATCCCCTTGCTTCAGCCTCCCAAATAGTTGGGACTATCCCACCACAATGCCCAGCTACTTTTAGAGATGAGGTCTTGTTCTGGCTCAGGCTGGTTTCAAACTTGTGAACTCAGGCAGTCTACTTGCCTTGGCCTCCCAGAGTGCTAGGATTATAGGAGTAAGCCACTGGTAAGAAGTGCCTGGCCTTCTTGGCCTTTTTAAAATATGAGTAAAAAATAAGAGTTTTTATTTACTTTGTTGAAGTTTAGAGCTGATGGTTAGACTTGAATTATTGATTTAAAACCACAGGGGAAATACCAGTAACCATCTTGGTTTTTATTTTAACTTTGGATTATAATATCAGCTGTTGTAATAGTCTTTACTATGGCATGCTTTCTTTGTGGATTAAATATATTTTAAAGCTTTATAATTTAAACCATAATTTAATGTTGGTCTCTTCCAGGTCTAGGAATTCTGAGTTAGGTTGAATTTACATGAGCTTGACACAAAGGGCAAATTTGAAAATAGAACCATTGTTTTATTCATTGATAGGCTTTAAAAGCTCTTTTATCTTCTCTGTCTGGGTGTTCTTTTTTCCCCTAAGGTTTATAGTTGTGTCTTCAGTATTCTCCAAACTCAGTTTCTTCAAGTTGGGCAAAAGAAGCAGAGAATAGCTAACCAGGAAATTCCTGGAAAGCTCCCTATCTTCTGGAAGTCTCAACCTATCATAGAACTTGAAGGCATCTCCATCTGTAATTAGTCTGTGTTAGGTACTTGCCACCAGGTAGGACCAAACCTCAGTGGGAAGGGATTTTTTTTTTTTTGAGATAGAGTCTCATTGTGTTGCCCTTGGTAGAGTGCTATGGTATCATAGCTCACAGCAACCTTAAATTCTTCGGCTCAAATGATCCTTTTGCCTCAGCCTCCCACGTAGCTGGGACTACAGGCACCTGGTACAACACCCAGCTATTTTTAGAGTTGGGGTCTTGCTCTGGCTCAGACTGGTCTCCAACTCCTGAGCTCAGGTGATCCACCCGCCTCCCAGAGTGCTAGGATTATAGGTGTAAGCCACTGTGCCTGGCCTGAGTTGGAAGGGGTTTGGATAACATTGTTAGATTGAATAAAATAACTGGCTGTTTCATCAAACGTTTGTCCCTGCTTGCCCCAATCAGTTAATTTGCCTTTAAATATTATACATCCTACTAAATTGTTTTTTTAATAGGACGGAGTTTCACTTTTGCTCAGGCTGTTCTGCAATTCGTAGCCTCAAGCAGTCCTCCTATATCAGCCTTCCTAAGTGCTAGGATTAGACATGAGCCACCACACTCAGCCTCCTTTCACCTTGTAAGGTTTCTTCATAATTGCTAATCAAAAACACTTCATATTTATATAATACGATGTGTTATATAATGCTATTAATATACATTATTACATATAGATGCTTAATGTTGGATGTACATTCCAAGAAACTTATCATAAATTGAAAATATTTGAAGTGAAAAATATATTTAATATTTAATACAATTAATCTATAGAACATCATAGCTTAGCCCAGTCTACCCTAAACATGCTTAGAACACTTACATTAGCCTGCAGTTGGCCAGAATTACCTAGCATACAGTCTGCTCTATAATAAAGCTTCAAATATTTTATACAATTTATTAAATACTGTATTGAAAATGGAAAACAATGGTTGTATAGGTGCTCAAAGAACATTTTCTACTGAAATGTATCACTTTCACACCATCAAAGTAAAAAAATTATAAGTCAAACCGCAGTTGGGAACCACTTATATACCAAAAACACAACCATTTGTAATATGTATGTACCATTATTTATATATTTATATATATTTTACATGTATATATTTGGGGTGGAAAGAATAGACACACCCTGAGTTTATTATTTTGATCTCAGCTCTCCAGAGTGAATATTAGCACTGTCAAAGTGTTAGGAAAATTTTTTCAGAACTATCTTCTTCATTCTGTAGTGCTGCATTATAATTTCTTGATATTTAACAAGATAAAATGACATAAAGGTTATCATATGCATAACACTTCTATAGTATGAAGTTATATTAAGTTTGTAAAATCAATGATTTGATTGACTGTTAAAAAACTGGATTACTCATCCATTCCTGCTGTAAATATTTACTAAGCGCCTTTTAATATGCCAGCTTCTGGCTGGTATAAATGGGTAAAAATATGGTTGTACTATGCCCTCTATCCAGAGACTCTCAAATTTAGGGAGGGAGGCTAGTTTATAATCATATACATAATTATTGTCAGTGTTTTAGAGAGTAATAACAGGCAGTTAACTTCTGATCATGAAATCGTGAATTGGGAATCTCTAACAATTGTGTTGAAATATTCTAGTTTCTTCCTCTGTGTGTGTGTGTATGCACATATATTTTATTTATTTATTTTTGAGACAGAGTTTTGCTTTGTTGCCCTGGGTAGAGTGCTATGGCATCGTAGCTCACAGCAACCTCAAACTCTTGGGCTCAAGTGATCTCATTGCCTCAGCCTCCTAAGTAGCTGGGACTACAGGCATCCACCACAACGCCTGGCTATTTTTAGAGATGGGGGTTGCACTCTGGCTCAGGCTGGTCTCCAGCTCATGAGCTCAGGCATTCTACCCGCCTCGGCCTCCCAGAGTGCTAGGATTATAGGCGTGAGCCACCCCACCTGGCCTACTGTATATTTTTTTATATTCTGTAGTTTCTGGGTTTTCCAGTACGCTATAATATCTTAATGGAGTTCACTTGTGTACCATTCAGAATTAACATCAGATGTGGGTGTAGGAAAAGAAGAAGGTTCATCTGGAAAAGTGTATTGGTTATCCTGGTCGAGTTTGGGAAATGTTTAACATGACAGTGAGTATAAAGGTAAGGTATCTTATTAATTTTCTCTTTTTAACTAAGCTTTGTTTTCTTTCAGTGTTCATAGTTGGGATCATGTTATTCAGGGCCTGGTAGAACTTGGTTTCATTTTAATGGATTCATATGGGCCAAGAAAGATTCTTGATGTGAAAACTATTGAAATCAGCTCAGGTCATTCTAGAATGTCAAATCAGCATGCATGTAAGCTGGGAGCTAATATCCTGTTGGAAACGTTTAAGGTAAGACTATTCCCTAATTTTATTTAAGTAATAACAAATCAGGCTTGATATTTGCCCAAGAATTTGGGGGACAGGGAAATTTGGATGATATTACAGATATAGTTTAATGAATGCTTATGTTCTCATTTGTCATGTTAACTATTCCGCTTATTCCTCTTGTTTCTGGCCATTCTTAGTTGTTGAATATAAGAAAGCTTTTCTGTGGTTTATTCTTGTTCTATAGCAGTAAATATAGCATTTCTAGTTTTTGTTTATTTTTTGTGCTGTTCTTTTATACAAAAACAATTTTCATCAAGCTTGAGAAAACAACTCCAAATGGGAAATTTACTTTTTTTGACATCACCAAATTCTGACTATAATTTCAATCTTTATTTCTGAAACAGCTTTTTTTTTTTTGAGACAGCCTCAAGCTATCACCCTGGCTAGAGTACTGTGGCTTCATAGCTCACAGCAACCTCCAACTCCTGGGTTCAAGCAATTCTCCAGCCTCCGCCTCCCAAGTAGCTGGGATTACAGGCACCTGCCACAATGCTCGGCTGTTTTTTGGTTGCAGCTATCATTGTTGTTTGGCGGGCCCGGGCTGGATTTGAACCCTCCAGCTCAGGTGTATGTGGCTGGTGCCTTAGCC